TGGGATGTAATTGACGTGTATCCCATATCCGTCTCATGAACAAAAGTGTCTCAAATAATGAATAGGAATAAAGGTTTGAGAAAAGGCTATAATGGTATTTTTTTGCTATGTGGAACTCCGTACTGCACAAACCCCAGCAGCGTTTGAGCTTGCTAATGACACTATTGGAGCTTGCAGAAGATCAATTAATAAAACGATGAGTTCGATTTTGTCTTTTGTATTTTTATATTAAAAATGAAAATAACACGTTATTAACTTGGTACTTACAAAGCCTTCTTCTGGATTAACCTTTATCAAGATCGCTCAAAGCCAATAATCCGAAAGCAAAGGGTGTATAATCAAAATTAATACTCGAATACTTGAGGCGCTACATGTACAAGAAAAAATAAGAATGATAGAAAACAAAACGTCTGCAATTGGAATAAACATAAGAATATTTCTTAAGAACATTTTTTTATTTTCATTTTTCATAATAACAATAATAGTTCCACCAAAAACACGAAATGCATATGTATTGGTAAATGCAAACATAATTATTTTCTATTGACTAACAATGTGATTGAATCAGGATCATATTAATAAGAAACTGCATTTTAATTTCTGATCGCATTATTGGTATGCATAATTTCCAGAAATAATTAATCTAGCATTTGTGTGCATTGATCACCAACCATTGCAATTAAAGCACAGTATATAATCATAATTAAGGTATAATGTCTTGATACTACCTAATAAATTTGTGGAGCTAGTCTACGTTGTTAATTTATGATTTTAGGCATTTCTATATTTGCTATATATGTATAAGATACATGATGTGAAATAACATCAATGATGTATGATTAAATGTAATATGAAAAAGGAATTATGGTAAGCGATGTGACAAATTACATGACTAACCACATAAACCAAAGGATTAGAATGTAATAAAGTTCCTTTAAATGATAGTATTATAGTTACAATAGATAACGGTGAAAGTCTATAATTACAATTAAAATGTTATCGTTTAGTCATACAAGTGATTATATATATAAATGCTACATTTAGGAGAATTCTATTTAATCACTAGAGAGAAAAAATAACGGAATTTCTGTGACCCTTCACTGTATAAAAAAAAAATATCCTTTGCAATAACAACCATTTTGTAGGTCAAAATAGGGGTTTAAGTAGTTCATCTACATTTAACACTATCCTGTCAACACTCAGGTTGTGAGGTCGACACCTAGGACGAATTATACAGCCGAAATAAAATTAAATTAAAATTAACTCGTTGCCCGTTTTAGTTCATTCGTGATTTTAAAGGTCGCCAGAAATACATGACGTTAAATCAGGAAACCGGGAAATTAATGTGACAAACAGGTGGACCAAAAAGAATGATGTGTTCAAATGAAAAGTATATAGCATGTACATGTTAAGTAAAACAACTCCTACAAATTTATCCAAATGCATAAGTTTCCTTCATTTATATTTTCATTATACTCAATTTTATCATATACTAATCCATATATAGCTTTGCAAAAGGTACTCTAAATAGCAATGTGAACTGAATGTGCAAGTCAGTGTCAACTTGAAACATGATCTTACTTAAAATTAATGTACCGGTAAAGCTTTTTCCATATGTATTTTACAGCCAAAAAAAAAAAAAAAAAAAAATTATGTAAAACTTTCAAAGTATATAACATTTGTTTTCCCTGGTCTATGTAATTGTGAAATCCCCAGAATGATGTTCAAAAGAAGCTAAATAATTGTACTATCAAACGCATCCCATGTGCAGTAATTTGGCAGTGAAATATTCAGCAATAAGAAGTTACTTAACAAGGTTCTGGCAAAAACCGTCCAAATTTACATAATAACAGCCATCTGCTAGAATTTCATTTTATCAATCATCGATCAAATTTAAAGTAGATAATCTATTTCCTTACACTAACAATAATAGAAATGTTGTAATAGACTACAAATATTCATGGAAATGGGGATTGAAAAAGGTTGACCGATATCAGGGGAAAAGAGGATAAATCAGTGCACAGTGTACTATCTTTTTATGCATTTAATTGTGTTATCCCTTATTGTTTTGTTAACACAATTTTGATAATTAGTAGAACTATTGAAATTGGAAGTTTTGGTTCACTTTTTTAATGGTATATTTAAAAAAAAGAGGTGAACGATACCAAAGGGATATGCAAACTCATAAGTTGAAAAAAACTGACAATGACAATTCCCGTGCTAAAGTTCCATGAAAGACAGAATGTAAGCATACATCTGGCCAGTTAGATGTATGTAAACGTGTATCTTATAACAAAACGGAATCAATAAAAAATAGCGTTTATAACCATCCTAGAACTTCAAAAGCGTGTTAAAACAGAAATTATAAATCGTTTATTCTACTTTCTGTAGGACACAATTTGCATTGGCATCTCGGTCTAAACAGTGTCTTTTCAGTTTTACTTGGTTGATTATGTTGTACTAGCCTCAAACATGGTACTACATGTGGTGGCATCTGGCCCTGCTTATATCATGCATATAACAGTTTAAAGTGTTTTGTTTTTGAAAAAGAAAGCACCAAAAAAGTACAAAAAGAACGATCTAAACAAATACGATTATGATGAAATTAGACAAACACAAACATGCATATTCAGTAATGGGATTCTAGCTCTGGTATTTGGAAGTTTTTTTAATTACTATTTAGGATTCTGCGACACGTGACTTCAAGGAACGCACGATACACATTCAAATATAAAGAATATCATCAATAATTGAACTTGTATGCAATTGAGAGAGTGAAGAAATATGTTGATCTCCTGTAGATGTGTTTATCTCTTTCGGTTTATCTTTCATTCATCGTGTTTTGGAACTGCTGTTTCACTGAAATTTACCTACTTACCGGTGTTTTGTGGACTGTTGTTTATGGTTTTTTTAAATGAACATAGTACTGGCCAATTTTTCCACAACTTACAATAGTTGATTGTTCATTTGGTATATAAAAGTAAGGAGATGTGGTATGATTGCCAATGAGACAACTATCCACCAAAGTTCAAGTGAAGTGGATGTAAGCAATTTAAGGCAACCGTACGCCTTCAACAATGAGAAAAACCCACATCGTATGGTCGGCTATAAAAGGCCCCGACATGAAAAATATGAACCAATTCAATTGAGAAAACTAACGGCCAACTAAACTATCTTTTTCCTATATTTCTAAACATTGACTTTTGTATATGCACGACCGTTTTGAGTAATAAAACTGACCCCGTTAGTATTGGTGTATTTACAGCTTACGGTTTTTTTCACATTGTACACGATGTCATTTGTAATTTCATGATCCTTAGTTGCTGCATTTTTAAACTGTCATCTATTACTATTGCAATTCCTAAAATAATTCATTTTTTAAACAAATATTTTCTTGATTTCATTATCCAGAGTTTGCGTTTTCTATCGGATTGTATGTACTCTTGTGAGTTGAAGCTACTGATTGAAGTATTCTAAAATTGTAAAGTTATTAATGCGAGTTCTACTGTGTGCATCATTACTTGTTTTAACGTTTTGTAAATTTGAGTTATTGTGGGTCAGATGACCACGAACATGGTCTAATTGTCGTAACTAATTCATATTTGTCCTGAGCATAAACACAGATGTCATTGGTGAGCAGGAACTGTTTAACCTTTAGCAGCATAAAAGTTCAACCTAAGTCTTTTTTGTGTTTCGTTAGTTTTCTGTTTTGTGTACTTTATTTTCCGGTTTGGTTTAGATTATGTCAGTCATGCCTTTATCATTCAAACTTTCAAATTCGAATATGGTCAAAGAGTTAGAGAGTTATAGTGAACCATTGCGTTATGAAATGTGTAATACTTACGGATTGGACAAAAGACTATGATTCCTTATAACCAATTAGGAATTACTTGATTTCGACATGTCTTTCAGTAACGTCGACGAATTCGATAATAAAACAAAACTTTTTGTGACTGAGTCATATAAGTCTTCAGGGTAATAAGAAAGATTATAACATTTAAGCAGGGTGATAATTAAAATAATATTGTTTAATGTGTCGGGTGTTCTGAACCAGGATTTTTACAACATATGCTATTTTGAGTCTAGTAATATTTAAATGTATACATGGATCTTTCTATGCCCGGACTACGATAGTAAGAAGGGGTATTTTTATCTTTGCTATTCATCTGTTTGTTCGCTTATTGTGCGTCCGTTAAAGTTTTGGTTTTAAACATTTATTAGTACTTTGAAGTTTTTGTCAAATATAGTCACGTGACCTTTGTTATATATGTAGGACTCTGAACTGCAATGGTACTCCGAACCGCGATGGTCACGCTGAAGTGCAATTATGGTTTGACGCTGAAGTGCGATGGTGGGATTGTGACGCTATCTTGTTGATAGCTATGCCGAAGTTCGATGGTGGTGAAGCTGAAGTACGATGGATTTAAATCAATTTTCACATTTATAGAAGTAGTCAATGAAGAAGTCAATTTGTTTGTTGGAAGTAGCTTTTCAGTTTTTTAAGGTAAAACATTGAGAGTATAACCTATTTAATTTAAAACAGTCATGATAAATATTCATTGCCTTTCCAGTCCTAACTGTAACGTTGTAGTGTACTTTGTTAAGAGCTTCAGACAAAAAAAGCAATTATTTATTATAGTTTATATAATCGTTTAGATATTGACCACTATAAACGCTACATAAAAGGTTATTTTCCTTTAAAACCAATACTTATTGCAATGACTCAAAAACGTAGTAGTTATCATTCGTGTTATAGACCATCACACATCAGCGAAAGGACCATCACACTTCGGCGTAGACCATCGCACTTCAGCGTGACCATCACACTTCATCGTCCCCATCGCACCTCTGAGTCCCACATATATATGCCAATTAATCCTTTTATTCAGGTCTAGGGGTTCACTGGACATTGAATTTAGATAGTGTGAACAGGGAACGGTTTCCTATTGACTCATACTTATTATTTTTTTTATTTAAAACAACATTACAGTGATAATACATGCAAAAAAAAATGTTGTTTTAGACAGCTATGCCAGATAATACGGCTATATATAAGTCTTAAAACACTGATTCGACTGAAAAATCATGTGCGGGTTCGTTGATATGGACAATAGGTGGCTGACTATTGCTATTGTTCGTTTTTTCGTTTGACAAAATTGGCTTCCGCATGCTACTTGGTCTTCTTCTAAAATAACACCTGAAAAAAATAAATAAAACTGTTATAATTTGGATAAAAAAAATTGTAAAAATAACTAGACAAAAACAGTCATCTATTTTAATTATTTCATAAAGGATATGTCATTTAGGTAATGTCTTGTTGATTGGAGGTCTCTAGTAAAGGATTTGTCATATAGGTAATTTCTTGATAATGTCAGATCTTCAATTTATTCAGTAATTGCAGTTAAGTGTTTGATATAATCTTGCATAATTCATAAAATGCAACCGTCACGCTGTTATCGTGGTATCGCTCATCTCTAGCTCAGGAGATCGCTTATTCGATTCTCTGCTAGGTCAAGATTTCAAAAATTAGTATTTTCCGCTTCTGTGTTAAGGTGGTACCCAACACCTGGACTAAAATTAATTTGGCTCGTTTAATTTTCATAAAATTTTGACATAATGTTTACTTTGACCCTTTGACAAAAATATAAAAATTTCAAAGAATTTGAACCAACCACTTTATCAGAAAAATTTCGTTGGTTATATAGCAGTTTGACAAACACTAATTTTAATCATTGAGAAGCTTAATATTTCCTTAACAATACAACGTGATTAAAACGTTTAGTTGATTTTTACAGAGTTATCTCCCTGTAGTGTTAGGTACCACCTTAAGCGTGCCTAATTCATGGGTAAGAATAATGTATGTGGATAGGGTCATATGTCTGCGTACTGACTTTTACCTATTTTAGCTGCCACGTTGAAAATCTGACGTAGCGTGTCAGTCTAGCACAAAACAGAGTATCTATCTACCTACCATTTTAAAAACGGAAATAAGTACAAACAGATTTGGAATACGTACCAGACGACAGTACCCACAATTAGTACACCGAACACAACAACTAAACTAACGGCTATTAAAACTTTGGTGTTGCCTCCACCACATTTAAAATTGCCTTTATCACTACAATCGGTGACTTCGTCTGAGGCCTCTGAAATTCAAAAAATGTTTCATGTGTGATTGTTTCAAATGGTTTCATCTTTACGTATATATCTTTCTCCTGACAATTCAAAATATTGATATTTTGTTGATTTTTGAGTAAAATATAATTATACTAAGATAACGAATGTGTCAATTTTTCAAAAAAAAACCGCCTGAAATTGATTTATAATAGATTGTACAAGTTGTTCTTGCATTTCTTTTCCTCTTACATGGATTAATGTAATTCGCATTTATTGGCAAATGCACTTGCAATTCACTTTTGACTGCCAATTTCTCCCAATAATATATGATTTTTGCATTCTGTGACGTAACAAATATTAATACTAGATTCATGCATGCAAAGAGGTTTCCGAAGTAATTCTTCAATTGTGTAGTCTGTAAATTTCACTGTTCTATGTTCTTTTGTTTACCATGTAATTAATAATAACTCATATATTTGAACATTGAGCTTTTTGTTTTGTTTTATAGTTTTAATACTGATTCCAAATCGAAATAAAGTTATCTTATCTTTTCTGATGATAATATAACAAATACCAAGTTCTTACCGATATGGTATTTGTGCTATTACAGTGTTCTCCCTTTGTACAACAAGTCACAGTTTTGACTTATAAAACAGTAATAGAATATGATTTTTTTCTTCAAACACACGACTTTCTTTGAATCATAGATGTATGCCTCAAATTACAAAGTTATTTTTTTACAGAGTTTGAAATTGTCAGAATATTCTTCTTACAGAGTGTGTGCTTTCAATAAATGTTTGGAAAGGTTGGATCCAAATTTTCAGCACATGGATTTAGCCTACTCAACAGTATACAATTTTAGTAAACAGTCATATAATACATCAGAAGTAAAGTTGACCATCATATGTCTTTTTGTTTTACACAACGGTTTGGTTCTAATAGGAAATAAAAGGACTGTGCGATACTCAAGTGTACAAAATAAACACACAAGGCATATAAAGTCTGACCAAAATTTAAAACATAAGTATTAAAACATATCACTTGCTGCTTTAAGACTGATTACTTATATTTTAGAAGAGAACATTTCTTTTATCAATTTTTCGGACATAATTTCAATAAATTAATGATTCGAAATTAGCTTCTTGTCAGCTTCAAAAGGCATACAGTGTATTTACATTATAAACAATATAAAACTAAAACCATTATGTATAGGGATATTTACAAATGTACTACTCCGCAGCTTAACTATTATGATAAGTTTAAATGCAATCAGACTAATCGTAAGATTAAGTTTTATTAACGCATTATATACTTAAAGAGGTGACCCTGTAAATAGGGTGGATATCCTATAGAAGAGAAAGAAGTTGATCTGAAAGAATTTTAAACTTCCAGTATTACATGTACCAACATTTGATATAAATTCCATGATTTTGGTCGGTCTCTCTTCGACTTACGAGTTTTACTTCTCCCTTTGGTATCGCATGTCTCTTTGTATAGTGACAAACACAATATGACTCTGCTCATAGTTTTAAGTAAACTTACTGAAACAGTACGCTTGGTAACAACCATAAGTAAATGTCAACTTGTAAACCCTAAAATCTCCACAGTTTTTCACTTGTATGGCGTATGTTCTATTACAACAGTTTCCCGGTGTTACCTGGCAAACAGTTCTATCAACAATACCTTCACTTGTCTCTGGTATACTGCCTGGTGGAAAACAATCGGAGTAAAATATATAAGGAAATAACAATAATGTAAATCATTTAATAAAAGATAAGTAGGCGTATAAATGATCATTAATTGATTTTTTTGCAGCTTTTTATAAAATATTTACTACAGATTTTTTAAGGAAGCTACGAGACTGAACATTAGCGACATTATTTTCCCGACTTGACAAAGTAAAGTCTTATACAAACTATAGTATGATCTTAGAAAATAGAAATCGTCTATTCTTAGACAATAAATTCTGCTCTTGGTCAGATTTCAGAGGAACGTCTACATTGTATAGTACTAGAGATAGCCTGATATGCAAAAACTATAATAATTTTAGAATGATTACTGTAGTGTATAAGGAAACAGTATAGTTAACATTTGCTTGCTCATGGACTATAAAATCAAAATTACCTTGGTTATGTACCAATTGATTGGGGTACCAATAGGGAAACAAGCCAATCGACACATGTACACATGGAGGACAGAAAAATATGTAATAAAGAGGTCAGGGATCAGCTAACAAACAAGCTAAAAAAAACTCATCAAAGATAATCAAACTTCAATTGTATGCATGAAGATCCATGAAATATACGCTTATTAATTCTAGGTTGAGGTGACTAGACTTGGTTTTGATCCGCGGCTGAGTTTAACCAATGACTCTTCCTTATTATATTTGCTGCTATATGAAAACACGTCATTTATTTACACATCTACTTGCTATCAAAGTAACGTTTGTTCATTAATTGACATCCGCATGTGGTCGCCTACTTAAACTCTTAAGATCCAGAATGTTATAATTCTACTGAGATATCCAAAAACAGGTATGCATAAAATGTCTATAAATTACAAAAACAAGAAGATGTAATATGGTTGCCAATGAAACAACTATTCACCAGAGACCAAACGACGTAACGTTGCTTATATTCATATTCTCTTCGGGATTTAATTTTTTTACCATAGGGTATTGCATGAATTGAGACAAGACAACACTTCTTGGCCTGTCAACATTCCTTTCTTATGTTATCTGTACGTTAGCCGTATTCTTTTTAAACAATCATTCAAAAAGTTTCGTTATGGTTGAAATATTAAACGTATTTTTCTGTTTTAGATTTTATTGCTTTTTTATTTGCTATTTATACTGATTTTTATAATTTTTAATACTTGGTTACACCAGATAAAAGGATAACTCTGTATCACCATGCATATACTTTTGTTTTAGATTTAATTGAGTTCAATAATGTGCAGCAAAGCTGTATCCAGATTACTATACCATCATGACTATTTAATTGATTGATGATTTCGCCACAAACAAACTCACAAATTGTAACTTCTATTAAATATTTAGTGTCATTGGATGAACGGGAAGAATGCATGCATAATGATATTATATATGGTTCATATAAAATGTATAACTAGAATACTGAAAAAAATAATGTTACCATCCATCCATAGCGGATACACTGTTCCACAAGTTCCGAACGTAACACATTCGGTATAAATATCTTCACCGGTTTTTTCATCTATTTTGTACCAGATAGGATTTAAATTGGCGTCACAGAACGGCACATCTAAGATATTGCGCGATATTGTTCCTGTTCCAGAGTCTGAACATGGATCCTGTCCTAAAATTCCAAGAAATTAGATAATGGAAATAACATTTTATATATTTCGTGCGTCCAAGCGCTTTCTGTATTTACCAACATCAAACACGCTCAGATCTAAGCATATGAAAACCAGACATGTGTAAATACATAGAAATGTTAGGAGCTATATGAGAGTAATAAATGTTTTTTTTAAGTTTTCAAGTCGTTTGGTTGCTGTCTCATTCACGCATGTGCCATATATTTCTTATTTAAGTAGAAAAATCGTCATCTCTCATTATTGTATATGAATGAGTTTGGACATGTTTGTAAGTTGTGTGCGCTTAAAGTAAAAATGATAAGCGGTCGGAATAATTTGAATTTAACGCATGTCAATATCGTCCGATCTTATGGTGAAACATGTTTTGTAAAAAAAAAAAATGTGAAACTGAGTGTTCGTTACTGTTGAGGAAAACCACAAAAGCCATTTCCTATTGGCAATCATCTTTAAAACAAGAAGCTCTCCTAGAATTTTTGTTTAGATCTTGCATTAATTGACAATTTCAGTCATTATAGAAATAAGAAGATGTGGTATGAGTGCCAATGAGACAACTCTCCATCCAAGTCACAATATATAAAAAGTAAACAATTATAGGTCAAAGTACGGCCTTCAACATGGAGCCTTGGCTCACACCGAACAGCAAGCTATAAAGGTCCCCAAATTGACTAGTGTAAAACAATTGAAACAGGAAAACCAACGGTCTAATCTATATAAAAGACGAGAAACGAGAAACACTTATAAACCACATCAACAAACGACAACCACTGAACATCAGGTTCCTGACTTAGGACAGGTGCAAACAAATACAGCGGGTTTAAACGTTTTTAACAGGCTCCAAACTTCAACCTAACCTGAAATAGTAGTGTAACATTACAACATAGAAAGACACACTATAAAATATCAATTGAAATGGCTTGACTCAATCAAAAACACATATTAACAAAAACAAGTAAACATACACTGAACGAATAAATTTGATCTATGACACAATGTCAAAAAGACAACTTTAACCTTAGACAAAATGTCGAATAACGTACATATGTAAATTTAAATATAATTATTTTGTTCTTAGGAGTAGGGAGATATTTTTTACAAAAAAAAATAAATTTGTTGTTCATAGTACGAGAACAGCAGTGAAAATTTATCGTCATACTAAGTACTTCTCAGAGGTGGTACATATTAAAAAAAAGTGAGACGAGATATAATACAAAATAAGTAAACATTGAATAACAAAAATGCACTACAAATTGTGTAACAGGTCAAATAACACGAAAGTACGGTTTGAGAGTACTCGCAGTTACTGAAAGCTAGTTAAAAGCAAAAAACAATTAATAATAAAAAAATCATGCATCAGAGACTAAAAGCAACTAAAACATGATGACTTTTTTGTAAGTATCACTTTGCTGAACTTATTTACCAATATAAGTTTCTGTGTATCTATCATAGTTTTTGATTATATATATTTTTTTCTAAATTCAATAAAAATAGTCTTTCATTGGCAAAAACTCCTATAAGGGATCAATTGACGAATTCGGTTTTTAGATTTATTGGTTAATCTAAGTTTGCGGAACTTTTTTTTTGTTTAAAATTTATCATTATCTACAAAGGTTTTCAAGATAATAACCAAAAACGGAGAAACGTCATTAAAATAATAAGTTCAGGGGCAATAGATTCGTCTAAAACTTTCACAGCAAATAGATATTGAACTGCTGATTATTGTTTTTTTGAGATATAAGCCAAAACTGCATGTTACCCCTATGTTCTATTTTAAGCCATGATGGATGCCACGTTTATTGACTGACTGGAATAAAAACACAAACTTAGTACTAGATACCATAAGGATGATGATGATGATATAACGCAAACATGAGGTGCAAACATTTGTACACCATATCCGGATTTCGACAATTAATGTCTTTTCAGTGATGTTAGGAATCGAAACGGTATTTGGAAGGCCATATATAATTTACCTCAATTTAGGATTGACTCTTGGATTTTGAAGAGTCTAATTAGGATGAACGGATTATAAAAATCCGAAGGCAAATATAATACAAGCCCAAACGAAAAAATATAAACAAATATAAGTTGAAAACAACGTTCAAACCTATGATTGCGTTGGATAAAAACCGCAATTTTTATACGTGTGCATGCAAAGCAAATTTCTTGGTAGAGGGGTCGTTTTGGTAAGGCCTTTGCTCATTAAACATACAAATATTGTCCAAAAACTATGATTTAAATGGTCATTTTGGTCTATTTCGGCACGCCTGACCTTTACGAATTAAAGCGTTTATATTGTATTAGTCTGTTCATTGAATTAATAACCATCAAGCGTGACTGGGGAATAGAAATTTGGTCACCCTTGGTCTTCTGCCAGCAGGCATTAAAACCATCGCCAAAGTGGGGCGTCTGTTTGAATGTGCGGGATGTATAAGTTCGCAGCCACGTCCGGTCAGAATTAAGACCTTAAATCTAATGCCTCGTGTAGAGGGAGTTTCTCGCCCTCAGCACGCAAGGAACCCTTGCAAGAACTCTTTCAGGGGTTTGCAGATGACCTGTTGCAAGGCTAAATTTCTGTCCCTATCCAATCTATCCTCATTTTCCACGGGAATTCCAAAACTGTTCACCCCTATTACAGAACCTACCTTCTGCATGTATTTTGAATTTGTTCTCGTCCTGAACATGCATGAAATATTTGCCACTGGACGTTTAGCAACCAACAATCAATCAAAAATCAATCAATCATTCAATTAATAGAATTTATATGGTTTTGAGTCTTATTCTATTTTACTATTTTTTCAGGGGTCACATATAATGGCTTATATCATACCTCCTCCTTTTGAAGATCTTTTTGAAACTGGCCATAGTACGAAATAATTCAAGGGGAAAGCGGCCTTCTTCTGAAACGATGCATAAATGGGGTAGGTTAGTATAAATATGTTGACTGGGAGGAAAGTTGGTATTTTTTTTATCGAAAATTGACAATTATGGCTTGCTTGTGTAGGGCCCTTTTTATATTAGCATTTTGCAAGAATCACGTATCTCACAACTGCCAACCTGCTAACAAGGAAAACAACGGTTGGACATATTAGAATAATACATTGATCTGCTTACTTACTGACGGAACGTTTTTATGATTTCATTTTAGATAGAACTACAAGTTTTATTTAACAGAACATGCTGGTAAAATGGACAATGATTCAACATATAAAGTATTTTACTCTGTAAACAATTGCTATTTACTTACCAAAGTTATAGGGCAATATCATGCAGATAATTATCCAAAACATTGTTTTATTCGATTTAACTGTTTCACTAATTTGCGATTAAAGATTTATTTAAATCTTTTATTTGAAAGATTAATTTACCAATAAATACTCTTGACCTTTTCTTGCCGAACAAATAACCTAGTAATATAACCTCTTTAATTTGTTTAACAAAACTTCATTCGTATAATAAATTATGAAAATTATACTATACGGAAAAAAATGCATCAAATAATGAAATTTGGAAAAACAAAATAATACAAAACTGTAATAAGTGTATTCAAATCATTATCATATATATGGTATAATTTGTCGGCTTATGTAATAAGTCTTTTTTTAAATATTTAATACTCATTCTCTGTAACCACTTAAACTTTTTCGGCACACATAGTCACCGATCTTTCTGAAAATTGACTGTAATGTATATCCTATTAGCCTAGTCAGAAAAATAATGCCATCTGATATATATATTGGTTGGTTACCATGGTAACAGCGGAGAAAGTTGGGAATTTTGAGAAAAATACAATATTTGGTGTAGTGTTGTGAAATTATGCGGCTACATATATTAAAAAGAAACACAAAACAATTAATTTCAGCCTTGTTTTCATCAAAAATCAAAAAAAGTTATGGGGAATCTACTTAGAAACATCTGAAATTAATTTCCAAAAAATGGTCATTGTGCAATATTCCTCACAATACGAATTGTCTCCCTTTGACGGGTTTCACTAATGACTGGACCAAAACGAAAATGCTAATAACTTTTTTATTTCTTAAAAATTTTGTCAAATTTGAATTGCTATAAATTTAGTCCATTTAATACATAAATATAAGAAAAAATATAGAAAACTTTTAAATCTTCATAAAACGTGACCTGACCAACGCTGACAATGACAGGACCAAATGAAAATGCTCATTACTTTTTTTATTTCTTAAAGGATTTATGTTTAATTTGAAATATAATAAAATTTGATCATTTAATATATAACTATATGAAAAAATATAGACACAAATATTAAAAAATTCCGAAAAATTCCGAAAACGTGACCCTTCTAACGTTGACAATGACCTGACCAACAACAGCAATGACCTAACCGATGAAAATTACTGTGTTATTTTATATCATTAAAAAAAGGGGGAAAATATATGTTTTTGGGTAAAAAAACTTGACCTGACCAACGTTGACTGTGTCCTGATCGTTGTACTACCTAATACCTATTTATATCTTATAGGATTTGCTTAAAATTTATATAAAAAAAACCATTAAGATTGAATGGTAAAGTCTTTATCAAATAATAATAAAAACTGGGAAAAACAGTTTAGGGTACTGTGACGGGCACCAGGTTATTTAAACTTTTTATGGTATTGAGTAGTATATTGTATTTTACTGTGTTGTAAATTATGTTGTATATTACCGGTTATAATTTGACACGTTTGATCACAAATACAAAGTAACACACAAAAGGTGTGAAGTAGGCCAAAAATACATGTAAGTTGATAAATCCAATATAATTGTTTTTTTAATATTTTCATAACAGTAAATAATTATTTCCACGTACAACTTAAGGCATGCCCGAGCCTTGTGTAGGATATCTAGGTAGTTTTAAATATTTTCATAAAAAAAATAAACATTTCGCGGACTACTTGAGGTATGCCCGAGCCCCTGCATGTACGATATCTTGGTAGTTTAAAATATTTTAATAAAATATAAGT